ACCATCTGCTGTTAGAAACTAGCCTAGAGCACCATCTGCTGTTAGAAACTAGCCTAGGGCACTGTCTGCTGTGAGAAACTAGCCTAGAGCACCACCTGCTGTTAGAAACTAGCCTAGAGCATCATCTACAGTTAGAAACTAGCCCAGAGCACAGTCTACTGTTAAATACTAGCCTAGAGCACTGTCTGGTGTTATGAACTAATCTAGTGCACTGTCTGCTGTAAAATACTAGCCTAGAGTGCCGTCTGCTGTTAGAAACTAGCCTAGAGCACCATCTGCTGTTAGAAGCTAGCCTAGAGCATCATCTACAGTTAGAAACTAGCCTAGAGCATCATCTACAGTTAGAAACTAGCCTAGAGCACAGTCTACTGTTAAATACTAGCCTAGAGCACCGTCTGGTGTTATGAACTAGCCTAGAGCACTGTCTGCTGTTAAATACTAGCCTAGAGTGCTGTCTGCTGTTAGAAATTAGCCTAGAGCATTGTCTGCTATTAGAAATGACTTGTGAAAACGATCCACTGTTAGAAAGTAGCCCAGAGCGCCGTACAATTAGCTGCTGTACAATTAGAATCTAGCCTAGAGCACAGTCTACTGTTAAATATTAGCCTAGAGCACCATCTGCTATTAGAAACTAGCCTAGAGCATCGTCTGCTGTTAGGAACCAGCCTAGAGCACAGTCTGCTGTTAAATACTAGCCTAGAGCACTGTCTGCTGTTAGAAATGACTTGAGAAAAAGATCCACTGTTAGAAAGTAGCCCAGAGCGCTGTCTGCTGTTAGAAACTAGCCTAGAGCACTGTCTGCTGTTAAATACTAGCCTAGAGCACTGTCTGCTGTTAGAAATGACTTGAGAAAACGATCCACTGTTAGAAAGTAGCCCAGAGCGCTGTCTGCTGTTCGAAACTAGCCTAGAGCACCATCTGCTGTTAGAAACTAGCCTAGAGCGCCATCTGCTGTTCGAAACTAGCCTAGAGCGCCATCTGCTGTTAGAAACTAGCCTAGGGCATCGTCTGCTGTTAAAAACTAGCCTAGAGCACCATCTGCTGTTAGAAACTAGCCTAGAGCACCATCTGCTGTTAGAAACTAGCCTAGAGCGCCATCTGCTGTTCGAAACTAGCCTAGAGCATCGTCTACAGTTAGAAACTAGCCTAGAGCACCATCTGCTGTTAGAAACTAGCCTAGAGCACCATCTGCTGTTAGAAACTAGCCTAGAGCGCCATCTGCTGTTCGAAACTAGCCTAGAGCACCACCTGCTGTTAGAAACTAGCCTAGAGCATCATCTACAGTTAGAAACTAGCCCAGAGCACAGTCTACTGTTAAATACTAGCCTAGAGCACTGTCTGGTGTTATGAACTAGTCTAGTGCACTGTCTGCTGTAAAATACTAGCCTAGAGTGCCGTCTGCTGTTAGAAACTAGCCTAGAGCACCATCTGCTGTTAGAAGCTAGCCTAGAGCATCATCTACAGTTAGAAACTAGCCTAGAGCATCATCTACAGTTAGAAACTAGCCTAGAGCACCATCTGCTGTTAGAAACTAGCCTAGAGCACCATCTGCTGTTAGAAACTAGCCTAGAGCACCATCTGCTGTTAGAAACTAGCCTAGAGCACCGTCTGCTGTTAGAAACTAGCCTAGAGCACCATCTGCTGTTAGAAACTAGCCTAGAGCACCATCTGCTGTTAGAAACTAGCCTAGAGCGCCATCTGCTGTTCGAAACTAGCCTAGAGCACCACCTGCTGTTAGAAACTAGCCTAGAGCATCATCTACAGTTAGAAACTAGCCCAGAGCACAGTCTACTGTTAAATACTAGCCTAGAGCACTGTCTGGTGTTATGAACTAGTCTAGTGCACTGTCTGCTGTAAAATACTAGCCTAGAGTGCCGTCTGCTGTTAGAAACTAGCCTAGAGCACCATCTGCTGTTAGAAGCTAGCCTAGAGCATCATCTACAGTTAGAAACTAGCCTAGAGCATCATCTACAGTTAGAAACTAGCCTAGAGCACAGTCTACTGTTAAATACTAGCCTAGAGCACCGTCTGGTGTTATGAACTAGCCTAGAGCACTGTCTGCTGTTAAATACTAGCCTAGAGTGCTGTCTGCTGTTAGAAATTAGCCTAGAGCATTGTCTGCTATTAGAAATGACTTGTGAAAACGATCCACTGTTAGAAAGTAGCCCAGAGCGCCGTACAATTAGCTGCTGTACAATTAGAATCTAGCCTAGAGCACAGTCTACTGTTAAATATTAGCCTAGAGCACCATCTGCTATTAGAAACTAGCCTAGAGCATCGTCTGCTGTTAGGAACCAGCCTAGAGCACAGTCTGCTGTTAAATACTAGCCTAGAGCACTGTCTGCTGTTAGAAATGACTTGAGAAAACGATCCACTGTTAGAAAGTAGCCCAGAGCGCTGTCTGCTGTTAGAAACTAGCCTAGAGCACTGTCTGCTGTTAAATACTAGCCTAGAGCACTGTCTGCTGTTAGAAATGACTTGAGAAAACGATCCACTGTTAGAAAGTAGCCCAGAGCGCTGTCTGCTGTTCGAAACTAGCCTAGAGCACCATCTGCTGTTAGAAACTAGCCTAGAGCGCCATCTGCTGTTCGAAACTAGCCTAGAGCGCCATCTGCTGTTAGAAACTAGCCTAGGGCATCGTCTGCTGTTAAAAACTAGCCTAGAGCACCATCTGCTGTTAGAAACTAGCCTAGAGCACCATCTGCTGTTAGAAACTAGCCTAGAGCGCCATCTGCTGTTCGAAACTAGCCTAGAGCGCCATCTGCTGTTAGAAACTAGCCTAGAGCATCGTCTACAGTTAGAAACTAGCCTAGAGCACAGTCTACTGTTAAATACTAGCCTAAAGCACCATCTGCTGTTAGGAACCAGCCTAGAGCACTGTCTGCTGTTAAATACTAGCCTAGAGTGCTGTCCGCTGTTAGAAACTAGCCTAGAGCACAGTCTGCTGTTAGAAACTAGCCTAGAGCACAGTCTGCTGTTAGAAACTAGGCTTAAGTGCAATTGAAAAAGCTTAATTCCAGAGTCAATTCAGTCCCAACCCTAAACATTTAGCAATCACCACTCAAAGAAGTAAACAAATGGCATTGCATTGCAGCCGTTCAGCCGTGTTTGGAAATCCCAAGTATTTTCACTCTGACTCTCTCTGAGGAAATTGCTCAGGATGTCTCTTTAGAGCTTTTCTACTTCACTGTGTGCTAGAGAAAGCACAGCTGTCCGGCGGAGGAAAACGCGGAGAATAATAACATTAGGAGCAGCACCGTGACTTTCAAACACAAGCCAACATGGGCAACAGCGGGTCACTCGCACCCTCGCAGTGTCTGAGCCCAGCTTGAGGCACCGCTTTGTTTCTTTCCGTCTGTTTGTGTGTAAACTGGAGCAGAGCACAGCGTTACAACACAACACTCTAACTGGGCAGGGAGGGAGGGTGAGAGAGAGAGACGGAGAGAGAGAGAGAGAGAGAGAGAGAGAGACAGAGGGACTTTGGGTGGGACAAAAAAATCTATAATGTTTAAAAAACAGAGTTGAGCCAATGTGGACCTCCAAAGCAAAGTCAGACTAGTTTATAGTATTTTGATAAGCATCAATGCTGAAATATTTAGAAGAAAAAAAAGGCTCTTCCATGTGCTAATGTCAAATAATAATGTAAAAAATATACATCTATTAAAGGCAGCGATGTCTAAAGTGAAAGTAATAATTAATCAAAGGAGAGTTTCACCTAAAAATGAAACATTCCCTTATTTTTTCCCTATTTTCTCACAATCAAGTGATTCTAAACTATTAATTTTCTTCTGTTGAACACAAAACAAGATATCCTGAAGAACGCTGGGGAATTAAACTGCCATTGAACAAAAATATTAAAGCTTTTTCCAACATTCTCAACTACACAACCTGACAAAGGTCTTGTCCTCAATCCCAGTTGTAAGAGCAACAAATACTAACTTGCCTTCACATCAAAGTTCCTGAAAGAAAAGAAGTTCATTCAAGGTGCTCCAGGAGTGGCTAGTCCAGTCACCAGACCTGAACATTATTGAGCATCTCTGGGAAAGATGAAGGAGGAGGCATTGAAGATAAATCCAAAGACTCTTGATGAACTCTGGGAGTCCTGCAAGAACCCTTTCTTTGCCATACCAGATGACTTTATTAATAAGTGATTTGAGTCATTACAGAGATGTATGGATGCAGTCCTCCAAGCTCATGGGAGCCATACACAATATTAATTATTTTTCCACTGCAGCATGTCTTTAAATTCTATACTGTACATTATTTCTGTTCAGTGACAAGGCTTTTGCCTAAGCAAAGTCAGACCTTACTGTCCTCATTAAATAATTAAAAATCAAGGTTTGATCATATTTTATTTTGGTAAAATAAGCGTAATCTAGAGGCCTTTGCTTTTCATAAAAGCCACTTCTGATACCAAATGATCATCTAGAAGTCAAGATATTATTTGTTGTTTCTAAAACTTGAATAGGTGACAAGACTTTTGTCAGGTAGTGTATATCTTCCTTTGTGTTCAAAAGAAGAAAGAAACTGGTTTGAAACAAGTGGATCATGAGTAAACAATGGCAGAATTGGAATTTTTGGGTGAGGTGACATTTTTAACCATAATAGCGCAACCTTAATAGTTCAATCCTAAAGCTTGGAGCTTTGTTTAAATCTCTGACTCTAAAAGATAGTAACCCTAGCCTTTACAAACTCCACTATTAAGTGCTAAAAAAATAAATTATAATAAGATCTTTGTCTAAACATCTGTAAAAAAAATCAAAAGGCAGATGTGGAAATAAAGCGTCATCTCACATATTTTTTATTAAATCTCCAAAAGGTGATAAAGGTTGCATGAAATAATCCACATGTGAGCCAAAAATGATAATCTAGCCGCTACATACTTTATCCTCCCATTTGTGGAATGCTCTCGCTGGACTGGGATCTCAATGCATGCCAAGGCAAACTCAGATGCGGTGTTCGCTATGAAACGCTGATTTCTCTTTTCCTCTGCTAAACAGGGTGTGAAAGAGGAACCAGCCAAGCCCAAAGAGGTGAAGAGCGCAGAGAAGGCCGGCTGGTTGAAGAAGTCTTCAGGGAAGTTCTTGAGCAGCTACAAGGACAGATACATTCAGCTGGACCGAACCGCCATCGCCGTCTACGAGAATGAGGTGAGAAATCAATGAAAAAAGCAGAGAAATGTGCTTTCAGAATGTGTCAAAATATGATATCGCTTGAGAAAGAAGCTTCCATTGGGACTGGATTGGGTTGTAGTCATTTTTATCATTGCTAGAGACATTATTTATAGCTGTTTGGCTGACATTGATCATTATGTTGGCTAACAAGAATCCGTGTATTCCCTTGCGTCAGTGTGCTTACAGACAGAACAGTGTTTTTAATATTAGTATAACTGTGATATGGTTTTATTTCCTCCCAGTGGAGGATGAAGTTCAGAAAATATTAAATCCAGATCTACTCTTACAAAATATTTAAAGTAGTTAAGATTCGAAGTACAAAACAAGTACATGATTTATTATCCTATACTTTACTACACCAAAGACTAAAGAATACGCAAGACATGTTACTCGTATAGTATTGAATGGGGAAAAGTAGAACGGTCAATATGGCGAATGAAACCCCGCCTACTAGTATATGAGCCAATCATCGATCGCTATTGCCTGATGTTTTTCCAGAGGTGGGGCACTGATGAGACGTGTGCTTTTACGACAGTGTGGTGGTCAAGAACTGGAATCTTAGCGAATACTTGCTTGAAAGCTTGAAATCTGTACTTTTAAAGGAACCTACGACACTTGAAAACATAAGTTTTCTGGTTTTGTAATCTGTATGAAATGAATGCAAGGTACAGTCCATCCTGTCAAATGCACATCACATGGAAGCAGCTATTTAAACGCCCACAAACTTGCAAACAAAGAGTTTTTGTCATTTCTGGAGGAGATTCACTATCAAGACCAAGTTGTGGATTACTTCAGAAGAGCAGCACGATCTGACGATTATTATCCAGAGTATGATAATGTGTAGAATGGCCATAAATGAGGTTGGTGTCGTGATCTCGTTCTTTTCGAGTGCGCATATTCGTCTTATATTGAATCACTTTGCAAACTTTGAATGTTGGTAATTGGTGACTTGCTCTGATTGGTTTGTATAAGTCATTAATTGTTGGCTCAATCTGATTGTTTATTTGAATCAGTGAGTCATTCAATTTAAACTCTATCTAAATGGTTCAGTAAGTCAACTGTAGACTCACTTTGAACCAATGATTTAAATCAGTGAGTCGTTTAATATAAATTTAATCTGAATGGTTCAATTGAATGAGTGATCCATGTAGACTTCCCCTGAATGTATTATTTGAATAATTGAGTTGTTAACTGTAGCCTCGATTTGAATTGTTTATTTGCATCTGTGAACCATAACTGTAGACTCGCTCTGAACTTATAATTTGAATCAGTGAGTCATTAACTGTAGACTTGATATGAATGGTTCATTTGAATCAGTGAGCCCTAACTGAAGTCTGAGCTTAACATTTGAATCGTTAACTACAGACTCTCTGAATGGACCATTTGAATCATTGTGTCATTAACTAATGTTCACAGCAGATGCAGAAGAAGCGTCAAGCGTAAGTGATTTACATGTTAAGTTATCCTGCGACAAGCTAAGCGCAAATGATGCGATTTGCACAAATGAAGCAGCGCGAGTTGATCATTTTGGGTGATTGCCGTGCTTTGCGCCGCATTAACTAATCAGGAGCTTTCTCTTGTAGGGGAGTGATTATGATGTAGCGCCTGTTGTTGTTGTTCCAGGGGCAAATCCTCCTGTCGACACTGATCAACAGTTAACCAAACTGGGCTCAGCTCAGTCAGAAGCACTGCTGAAAGCCTCCATCATGCAGATATAGTTTCTGGAGGAGTTTATGAGTCTACAGAGCAGGGTGTACAATAGAATGGATCTAGTGGACTCAGACACAGCTCCAAACGAATCAACGCTGTTTTTCAGTCTTCCCAAAGCACATAAACACAACTATTCTCTCAATAAAATCCATGTTAGCCATTTAGCAAAGAAGCTAGAGTCACCGGGCAGACAGAAGCCCCGCCCAGGTCGATCACATGACAAATAAGTCATAGATAGAATACTATAAGAGGGAGAAAATAATGATTCAATGTTTACCTTTTGTCTATGAAGGTATTGTTGTCTCTTTGCTCAGCTCACCTCTTCATGTCTTAAAATGTCAGTGGTTCAATCACGTTACACTGACAGTCACATGTAATCTTAACCAATGTACACAGTCTGAGCCGATAGGAGCCATGATAATTAGTTCACCTTTCAAGTCTAGAGTCGTTCGTTATTTACGTGACAGAATGACTCAAACCCGAGGACTCGAGTGATGAACGGTTCAAATCTTTTTCCGGCTCTATACGCATTTGATTGGCCTGTGAGGAACAAATGACTCAGACCCGATAGAGAACTCGAGAGATGAACAGATCAATTCTTTTTCCTGCTCTAAACGCATATGATTGGCCCGTGAGGAACGAATGACTCAGACCCGATAGAGAACTCGAGAGATGAACGGATCAATTCTTTTTCCGGCTCTAAACGCATATGATTGGCTTCTGCCTTTCCGCAATGGCTCGAAATGTGATGAAGACTTGAAATGAACGATACCACCTGCACAAATGTGCGCACACACGGATGAACGAATCACTTCCTGAGAGGACTCGTAGTTCCCAAGACATTTTAAAGATTCGTTCAAAATGAACGACCCATCACTATTAGCTAGTCATCTTCCAGCCTGACCGGCTAAGACCAGGCTGAAAATGGCCAAAACCTAGATAAATCTAGCCAACCACCCAAGGCTGGTTTAAGCTGTTTTTTTTCAGTAGTGGGCTCATTTTAATCAGTGAGTCATTAACTGTAGACTTTATCTGATTGGTTCATTTGAAACAGTGAGCCACAACTGTAGACTCTCTCTGAGCTTATCATTTGAATCTTTAACTGCAGACTCTCTGAATAGATCTTTTGAATTAGTGAGTCATTAATTGTAGACTCGATCTGAATGGCTTGTTTGAATCAGTGAGCCATAACTGCAGACTTTCTCTGAGTGTGTTATTTGAATCAGTGAGTCATTAACTGCAGACTCTCGGGATTGAATGATAATAATAATAATTAATAATTTTAAGTCATTTAAATCAGTGAGTCATTAATTGTAGACTCGATTGTAATGATTAATTTGAATCAGGGAACCCTAACTGTAGACTCGATCTTAATAATTAATTTGAATCAGTGAGTCATTAACTGTAGACGCAATCTTAATGATTCATTTGAATCAGTGAGCCCTAAAAAGACTCTCATTGAGATTATTTGAACAGTTAACTGCAGACTCTCTCTGAATAGACCGTTTGAGTCATTAATTGTAGACTCTCAGGATGGATCATTTGAATCGGTGAGTTGACTCGAGAACAGATCTGTTGAATCGATTCACAAATCAAATCTAACCAAACAGCTGTTTCCTGAATATAAAACAGGTCTGTTCTGTTTTTGAGGTAGCGAATCACTCTGCGATTGCTACTCAAAAATGAAATCAAAGTAAAAATACAAAAAGTACTCTGGATAAGTATTAATGAATCGTTTTATTTTGTCTTTCTCATGCAGGAATTAACAACATGCCTGGAGAAACTGGAACTGGACAACTACGAGACGTGCCATGAGCTGAAGAGTGCATTCAAGAAGAAACACAGGCTGGTACTAATACGAAGCCCCAAGAGCGGTAACAAGGTAATAATGAACATTTCAGCACAGCAGAACGTCAAATCCATCAGTCTGCCATTGCCTTTTGTATGTGATATAAAGAGTGGCTTACATCAGGATGACAATGCAATGCACAGTTGAGGACGGCTGGCCTGCAGTCGTGACGTCAGCCGTTCAATATGGCACGCACTAGAAACACACTGGCCCATTGTGCCAAGCCTAATGAATCAGACACGTATCTGAACACACACATGACCAATGATGGGCTGGTTCCTCTGGGTCACTGCTTTCAGGGCTGCTTTAAAGGCATAGATCACTGAAAAATGAAAAATCCCACAAATGTTACTCCTCATATGCAATTGTTCACTGCTGAGACTCAATTCACATAATATCTGTACGTAACAGTATTGCAGACATCCCACCCTGATCTTGAGAGTCCCCTGCCACAATGATGTAGGCTATAAATCACACAGGATCACTCTGGTAAAACATGAACACGAAATGGAAAATGAAAGAAACAGCATTAAAAGGGGGTTAATTTTGCCAAGTTTACCAAGTTACCAAGTTTTCAACATGTTTACAGCAATGTCACAGTGTTTAACATTTGAACATTGTGTTGGCCTACTGTATGAAGCAAATAAAACGAAACACAACATCACATCATTTGTTTTGGAAAATGAATAGGCAGTGTCTTAACGTCCATATGAAAGCATCTAAATGTCAGTCTTTTGGCCCATTTCCACTGATTGTTATGGTATGAAACGGTTCGGTGCGCTTTTTTGGCCTTTTCCACTGTCAAAAGGTACCAAAAAGCGAACAGTAATGCACCACTTTTTGGGTACCCTTTACAACAAACGGGTACCAAAAGGCAGAACAAGACGTGCAGCTGGACGCTATTGGTTTACTGAGATACGTCACTACAAGCAGGAGAATGAAAACAAAGCAACCGCCATTTTTAAATACACATTAAATCGTAATACTATATACATATAATAACAAGCCATGGTTGCCTGAGCTTAAACAAACTGTGTCGTCGTCTTGATGAACAGCCACAAAGCCAAGAAGAACAAATTCTGCCATGTCCTGTTATTGTTTTACGAGGCCGTATTATGAACTCTGAATGAAGGATTAACTTTCTAATGATGCGTTCACTCCAGACACGGAAGAAGCGTCAAGTGCGAGTGATTTACATGTTAAGTCAATGCAAAGTCGCGAATGGACATCCTGCAGCACGATACGCTTGAATGACGCAATTCGCGCGAATGAAGCATTGCGAGTGGAGCGTTTTGCGTGATTGACACATGTATCGCGTGTTTTGCGAGTTTCTCCCGAATCACTCGGGTTCGAAAATCTGAACTTTAGCAGACAGTGGCGCCTCGTTAGCCAATCAGGAGCTTGCTCTTGTGGGGGCATGATAATGATGTAGCGCCTGTTTTTGGTGTCCTGGGGGCAAATCCTCCTGCCGACACCGACAACAGTTCATCAAACTGGGCTCGGCTCAGTCAGAAGCACCGCTGAAATATTCCATCATCCAGCTTTAGCTTCTAGAGGAGGTGATGAGCTCACAGAGCTGGGTGCACCTCAGAGTGGATCTAGTGGACTCAGACACAGCTCCAAACGAATCAACACTGTTTTTTCAGTCTTCCTAAGGAACATAAAGACAGCTACTCTCTCAATAAAGCCATGTTAGCCATTTAGCAACAAAGCCGGACAGAGGCCCCGCCCATGATGCAAATGCATGTCTGGTGTGAAGTGAATTTGACGCGCGAATGAAGCGAGTAAACTCAAAATGTTCACACGTCTATTTACACGCAAATAGTATGATTTATCCGCTTTACTGCATCTGGAACACAGCATAACATGTTACATGACATATTACATGTGCTGGTGAAGATTAAAGATACAGATGAGAGGTTTGCATTGACTGTAGACTATATGCTGGCTGTCGTTTTTGAACCCAAATAAGGACTAAGTGTATGCTGTGTGTAGTTTTTCTGTGCTGTGTGTAGTATCTGGTAACATATCAGACACTTGTCTGTATGCGTTCATTCATTTTCTTTTCGACTTAGTCCCTTTATCAATCTGGGGTCGCCACAGCGAAATGAACCGCCAACTTATCTAGCATATGTTTTACACAGCGGATGCCCTTCCAGCTGCAACCCATCACTGGGAAACATCCACACACACTCATTCACACGCATACACTACGGACAATTTAGCTTACCCAATTCACCTGTACCACATGTTTTTGGGCTGTGGGGGAAACCGAAGCACACAGAGGAAACCTACGCAAACACTGGGAGAACATGCAAACTCTACACAGAAATGCCAACTAACCCAGCCGAGGCTCAAACCAGCGACCTTTTTGCTGTGAGGTAAACGTGCTACCCACTGTGGCACTTATTTATTTATTTATTTTATATAATCGCAGACGTTACAGTTGGCCATTTTACACCATCATCGATCTGCAGTTATTATTAAATCATGTTTATAGAAAGGTTACTAATAAACATTTATACACAAGTATTTATGTGTGTAAAGCATCTGTTTTGTGAGAAGTTCTTCTCATATGATATGTGAACGACCCGTACAGCTTTACTTTGACATTTCCTTGAGCGAGAATGATGTCAACTGAAGCTTTCTGTCGTACACCCACTAGTACCGTTAGTACCCTTTTGGCAGTGGAAACACAACACTGATAAAGGTGACCCGTATGGTACTGTACGACTCAGTGGAAAGAAGCCATTTGACATGACTGGAAGAAATGTTATTATGTAAATAAAAATACACAGTTTGCTAATACACATAACTATAAATTGTAGCTCCAGAGAAACTGAGTACTTATTTTCGAGCAGTCTCCTAATTTATTTTTGTTTCCATTGCTGGATCTTTTAAATGTTGCACTAACTCAGGGTTAAACGATTTTGACCTAGTCATAGTGCGAAAGGGGAGACATCCTTTCACGGGGCTCATCATTTCCTGTCCTAGTGTTTATATATTCTCAAGTCTGAGGCAAGATTTCCTGTATAACTAGGCAAATACTTGTGGTGTATCAAAACACCCGCAAACCATCAGTTTTTCACTTTCTTGCTTCAGAAGAAATATGAGTGAGTTACTGATGATAACACATTGAGCATGCGTTGTTTAAAATGAGGTACAAAGGAAATACAAAATATTATTTAAAAAATATATTTTGGGTAACACTTTAAAATAATGGCTCACTAGTTAATGTACTTACTAACATGAACAAGTAATGAGCAATGCATTATCTGCTTGTTAAGTGGTGACGTGTTGGTGACGTATGTAATACTGTTTCCGGGTCCAAGCCGCCATTCATTTGAGTGGAGAAATCATTAGTTTATGATCACGTTTTATTCCTATCACACATTAAAGTTAATTTTATATAAAGTCATAGTGTACACAACAATCTCTAGGCTTGCTGCATAAAAAATACCAAAAATTTAACAATTTATAAAAAAATAATCACTTTCTGGCCATCGGATATTAGGCATGGACATATATACTGCGAACGTGATTTTCGAAAGCATTAAATCGCTTTGTAAACGTTTATTATTACCATTTCATGAGTCTCCCCATTCAGTTGAATAGAGCGCTTGGACCCGGAAGCCGCTTCGCGTGACGTCACACTTAACAAGCGGATTACAGCATTTATTAATCTTTGTTAAAACTAGATAATGATGACTGGGAAATTGTATGTGATAATATATACCCGAAATGTACCTCTCTTGGGATCCACGAGCTTAAATTAAAATTTTTCAATATGATCTATCTTACACCAATAACTATTAAGAAAATGTTTGCCAATGCCACAGACTTTCAAATGTAAAAAAGATAAAGGTATATTTATTTATTGTTTTTGGAACTGTGACAAAATTTTGCCATTTTGGAAGAAAATACATAAGGTACTGGAAAATATTCTTAAGCTAAATGTTGATTTGACTCCAGCTTTGTATTTGTTGAATCTTAATGCGAACAATCTGATTGAAAAAGATGCATTCTAGTTATTTATTGTCTTGGTATACAGTTGAAGTCAGAATTATTAGCCCCCTTTGAATTTTTTTTCTTCTTTTTCAAATATTTTCCAAATGACGTTTAACTAGCAAGGAAATTTTCACAGTATGTATATTAAAAAAATTCTTCTGGAGAAAGTCTTATTTGTTTTATTTCGGCTAGAATAAAAGCAGTTTTTAATTTTTTAAGAACCATTTTAGGGACAAAATTATTAGCCCCTTTAGGCTATACTTTTTCTCGATAGTCTACAGAACAAACCATCTTTATACAATAACTTGCCTAATTACCCTTAGTAACATTAGTTAATTCACTGTTAACATGTTTAGTTGACTCTAGTTATAATTCTAGTTACCCAACAATGAATGACTTTATTTTCATTAACTAATTTATTTTATTTTTATTTTTTTAATTGTATGCCCACATTCACAAAAAACAAAAAATAAATAAATAGGTAAAAAAAAAAGATAAAAGTACAATCACACAATGTTAGAGCAGATTTTAAGTGTAGGTTATAACAAAAATTGTAAATGAATGACAAGGATTCTGTGTTAATTTAAGAGAGATCTTTTATGTACTCCCAAAAGGGAGACCAAATTGACCAAAATCTGTCTGATTTTTTATGTTTGTCATAAGTAAGTTTTTCTAATGGTTGCCATGTAGAAACTTGTGATATCCACATTATAATGTGAACAGTGTGAACATTTTAATGTGAATGATGACAGTAAATAATATTTGACTAGATATTTTTCAAGACACTTCTATACAGCTTAAAGTGACATTTAAAGGCTTAACTAGGTTAATAAGGCAGGTTAGGATAGTTAGACAAGTTATTGTATAATGATGGTTTGTTCTGTAGACTATCGAATAAAAAATAGCTTAAAGGGGCTAATAATTTAGACTTTTATTCTAATTTGGCTTTTATTCTAGCCGAAATGGGGGCTAATAATTCTGACTTCAACTGTGTGTACATCTATCTATCTATCTATCTATCTATC